ATGGCAAAGGTGCTTGGGGACAAGGCTACGGAGCGTATGGCAAAGGTGCTTGGGGGCAAGGCTATGGGGCGTATGGCAAAGGTGCTTGGGGGCAAGGCTATGGCAAAGGGGCTTGGGGGCAAGGCTATGGCGGAGCTTATGGAAAAGGTGCCTGGGGGCAACGCTATGGCGGAGCTTATGGCAATGGCGCTTGGGGGCAAGGCTATGGAGCTTATGGCAAAGGTGCTTGGGGGCAAGGGTATCCTGCGGCCGCTACAAGCTACCCAGCTTACGGCGCAGGGGCTTATGGTCAGACCCCTATGGGCATGGGCATGGCTGCACCTGCAGCTATGATGACGAATCGCACAGCCTACGGCAAAGGTGCTTGGGGTGCTGGCTATGGCGGGAAAGGCGCTTGGTATGGTCGGGCCTATCCTGGAGCCGCCATGGGCATGGCTTCACCCGCTGCCCCCAATGGCACAGGCTTTGCCCCGACTTTGGAAGGCACGGGTGCCTGGGGTGCCGGTTATGGAGCACAAGGCAAGCCCGCTTGGGGTGCTGGTTATGGAGCATATGGCAGAGGACCTTGGCAGCAAGGGTATGGCGCTTATGGCAAAGGTGCTTGGGGACAAGGCTATGGCGGAGCTTATGGAAAAGGTGCCTGGGGGCAACGCTATGGCGGAGCTTATGGCAAAGGCGCTTGGGGGCAAGGCTATGGAGCTTATGGCAAAGGTGCTTGGGGCCAAGGATATCCTGCAGCCGCTACAGGCCGCCCAGCTTACGGTGCAGGTGCTTGGGGCAAGAGCGCATATGGCCAGGGCTTTCCTACAGCTGCCATGGGCAAGGCATCACCCGCGGCTATGACGAATGGCACAGGCAATGCCCCGACCAAAGGCAAAGGCGCTTGGGGTTCCAGTTATGGAGCATATGGGAAGGCCGCTTGGGCCCACAAGGCCGCCCTGGGCAAAGCTTCACCCGCAGCTGCAACGAAGACTGGCACAGGCAATATCCCGACTGGAGCCTACGGCAAGGGCAAAGGTGCTTGGGGTCGATATGGTGGCAAGGGCTATGGTGCATGGGGTCACAGCATGTCACCCGCAGTCGCACAACAGGGATTGGGAGCCTACGGAAAAGGTTTCGCTGCCTACCATGCCAGCAAAGCTAAGGCGGCGAGTGTGCCAGGCCAACTGCCATCGAGCCCTGCCAAGACCGCTGCGCCAGGCCAAACGCCAGCCGCACCTGCTGCGCTGAGTGCAGGCCAAGCGCCGACACCAACAGCACCAGCTGCGCTGAAGCTAGGGGGCGCCCCAGTCAACCCTATCTACGCAAAGTACTGGTCAAAGTACTACAGGAACCTGTACAAAGGCAAGTGGATGAAATACTACGGTGGGATGAAAAGAGGGTTCAACTACTGGAAGCCGTGGAGCCCCCACTACAGATGGCTTTGGGGAAAGATGTACGGAAGATTCTATGGCAGGAAGTTCATCTTCCGTCGCTTTGGATACAGAGGCCATCACCTCAGCGGCTTGGCCAAGTGGTGGTGGTGGAAGCATCCGCACCCTAAACCCACAACGACCACAACAACGGGAACGTTCACTTGCCTCGACGGATCAGGGTGCGAGATCCCCATGGATTTCATTAATGACACGTTCTGTGACTGCCCAGATTGCTCGGATGAAGCTGATTTCACTTGTGCGACGTGCCCGACTACCCACACCCAAACTACGTCGTCTACTACAACATCGATGACATCGACCGAGACGGTGGTGACATCGACAAACACTATAGTGACGCAGACGCTGACTGTAGTCACGACTACCACTACAGTGACCGAGACAGAAACCCAGGTCGGACCTGCGCCACCTCCGTTTATTCCTCCCCAACCCGATGCAGCTCTCGGTGCAGCTTTGGGGTCGACTTTGGGTGCTGCTCTCGCAGTTACCCTGGGAGTTGGCATCGGCTTGTCCACTGGTCTTGGAATCTTCTTTGCCATTGGAAGCTTCAGGCTCAATGTACCAAATGCCGGCGCATTCCGCAAGGATGCTGACGCAATTGCTGCCCTCAAGAAGACTGTCGCCAGGATTGCAGGGCCAAACATCGACTCCAGTACAATCGAGTTGACCTTGCCTTGTGACAAAGCTAAGCGACGCCTTGATGTCCGCAGTGCACTTCGCCGCCTGGATGAAACTGTCGGTGTTTGCTTCAGGATCCAGATCCGTGGCGAGGAAGCCAGCACCAATGTTTGCGAACGGCTGTCAGGCTTCGGCACAGGATCCGCTCAGCGCATCCTTTCCGAAGAGCTGAGCAATCTTCCAGGTCGTTCAGTGCAGGTGGTCAGTTGGGATGCGCAGCCCAACCCGATCGCATACAATCCGAACCAGAATGTCGGAGGTGATGACAGCGGACTTTTCGACCCTTCTCAAGCAGGAATCTCGCTCGGCTAGACAACTCCCTTTTGACGGCCACGGGCCGGATACGTCGCAGATCTTATGTACATGAACTCATCTGCCATAGCATAGCCGTGATGGACATCATTCTGAGAGACTGTTTTTGGAATAGCTGTGCCAAATCCGAGCTGGTTTCCAGCTCTGTAAAGAGTGTGAGTGCTAAAAAAAATAGTCATTTAGTGACAATTAACTACAAGCGGATGCTCCGAGTCACCCGGACTTGTTGTAACACTTAAGTGCGGTTAGAGAAGTGCTCACCGAACAATCTGGCACAGCCACCTGTCTACCTGCTGTATATACGCGGCTGCTACAGCTTAGCTGGAAAACTTCAGCAAGCAACATGCAGGTTTTAAGCAGGCTTTTTGCGTTACTGTAGCCATGGCTTCAATTGTCGCCATGCCAACAAATTCGACATGTATCAATTTTCGCCCCTTGCCTTCCGAACTGGACGAGCCCGAATCTCGCGCCGCGACCAAATTGCACCACTGCCAGCCCAGCTGCCTTTGAGCTGCATGTGAAGTGGCGCCAGAGCTCCAGTCACGTCCGAGGTTTGACATCATGTCCAGCCCTTTGTTCCAGAAGTGCCTGGACCCTGTGTTCCGCCAGAGCGTTTTCGGCCTTGACTTTGACAAGATGCCTGGCAAGAAAGCAGATTCACTGCCGGCGCAAAACCCCGTGCCAGCCGGGTGGATGGTTGTGGTCCAAGCTGTGGTCGATGGTTGTCGTGAAGCTTTTCCGAAAAGCCGAGGAAGGCACCAATGCATGTCGCGAAGGACGACAAGGTCCTCAAAGCCGCTCGTGCATCTGTATTTTTGTCCTGTTTTTGCCTAGCTGTGTGATGACTCTGGGTGAGCCTATGCTTCACAGCGAAATTATCTCTGAACTTAGGAGTACGCCTTCCACAAGAAGCAGCTGATTTCCGTCTGGTTTCAGGACGAGCCTGTGAGGCCGACGCCTGACAAGGCTGAGGCACGGCAAGACTCCTCCACAGTCACCAAACTATGGGCCTGTCTTCGATGTCGACAAAAGTTCCTTTCGTCTCCTAGGACAGCAGGGCAAGAAGGAGAAGAAGGGAGCAAAAGAGGAGACACTGAGTCCGGGGACTGGAGGGCCAGGGGAGCCAAACAACAGAGCGCCCGGCAGCGGCTGCCGACAACTGTGTTTGGCCTGAGACACGGGGAGAAGCGAGCCACTGCAACGAGAGGAATGATAGTTTTCTTGGCAAGGAGATTTGTAATGTCATCTGCGGCGCGATGTGTGTGGAGCCGCGGGTCCAACAAGCTCACGACTCATTGCAGACATTCCGCAGCACAGGGCGATGTGTGGATGGAGCTCACCTCACCCATGCCCTCTCGCGACGTGCACCTGGTAGAGAGCGAGAGGGAGGAGCGTGACATGACATGTCCCCCGTATTCGGGAGGGAGAGACAAAGAAAGAGAGGGAGAGAGAGAGCTTATTGGGTAGCGCTTGCGCGAAGGGGTTCAGGGGGTAAACGCCATGCAAGCAAGCAAGCAAGCAAGCAAGCTTATTGGGGGAAACATCTGTAACTTGGTGGCAAGATGGGGGGTCGGGGCTCACAGTCATGTTTCACGCCGACAAGACCGAACACGAACTCAGGCGTGGCGCTGTTGCGCAGGGGGGTAGGGAGCGCGCGTCCCTGTCCTCCACACGCCCTGCAAGCAAGCAAGCGAGGGGTGCGGTTGACCGTGCTCCTTTGGCGGCTTAGCAAAGCAAAACAAAGAGAGTGAGACAGCATCATTCATGGCTCTAGCCTATTGGTGACTTATGCTCGTTACTCACTCCCCTGCTCCCAATAACACATTGGGTGGGCAATATGCCCGGGGGATTTGACAGTCCCCCATGCCCAGGAGAGAGAGAGAGAGGTCTTTCTTGCGAGGAAGACCGACAGGGTAGCAACAATGTCTAGGCTTCTGGTTTATCAGTGCTTTGTCCAGTCTGCTGTGATGCTTTCTGCCCACGTCGCTCCCCGAAACAACAAACAGGGGGGAAAGTGCCCTCTAAACACATGTGCCCGAGTGACCAGCAGTTCGACGTTACTGAGGTTCGTTCCTGCTTTGACATAGGGCCCAACTTGTTCGTACTCATCTGGTCAGGGGGACATGCCCAGCTTTGTAAGGTGTCCTTGCACTGAGCACAGACGGTCGGGGGACAAGAAGAAACTTCTTCATCCCTATACTTCTCAGCTTTCGTTGTTATTGTGACATACTTGTCCCGCTCCGACCGAGCAGACCTTAACAAGAAAGGGGTCGTTGGGTGTTGTACACGAAGCAACAGCTCCTCAGCCCAAGCTGCTTGCAAACCCCAGTGAGAGCCTGGACAACAAATGGCAGTGTCTAGCGTGCTTCGGGAGCTTCAGTCGTCCGTGTTGTTCAGAAACAGAAGGGCGAAACGACTAGATAATGGAGCAAAAGCGGAGGGAGTGAATTCTGGGGCCTGCTTAGTCGCTTAGTATGATCTACCTGTCGTGTGTTCTTCCTTTTCTTTGTTCACTCTCTCCGAATCAGGACAGTAAGCCTAGATGTCTGTTGCCAACATTCGATCCATCCCAAATGGGGTGCCCGTTGACAGTGTTCTTCCTTCATTCCCAAAGCTCCACAAGCACTGGTGGGCCTGGCGCCCGGGGACTTCACCTTTCCACGAGAGCGAGAGAAGAGACCCAATGCCCAAGAGGCGCGTCGGACACCAGACGTACAGGGCCCGTACGGGGACCTTCGGCACTAAGCGTGAAGCAAGCAAGGGGAAGATAGAGGTCTTGACTTCTTAACGATACACCACGAGGGAGAAGACTGAGCAGCCGATATTTTTAAGCCGACAAGCAAGCCGACAAGCGAGGACGAGACTACAAGAACAGTGCATGACACTGAAGTGCTTCGAGTTGCCAGGTGAGCTGCCAGCAAGCGGTGCAGTCGGTTCGGCAGGACCCCCGAACTTCGCGAAATCAGCTTTTAGCAGCGAGAGCAGCCCATGAAGCCTCTTGCAGCTCCCTGATTATACAGATGCCGACCAACCGTCAAAAACTCCAAACTCTTGCAAATTTATCTACGACTGCAACCCAAACACTGACGTCTTGCCTGGTGAAGAGAACTTACACCGTTTTGGCTGTTCAGGAGCACTACGTACTTGATGATGGTGGGCTGTTCGATTTCGATGCACTTGACGAAGTTGAGCTGGCCGGGCAAGCTTCGTAGCCGGTGGAATCTCTGCCTGAATTGAGGATGCTGGACACATGATCCGGATTGAAGTTTAAGCCTGTCGACTGTTTTGATATGCGTTTAACCGCTTCTTGCATTTGAACCTGCAGCGGCATCTTGATAGCTGCTAGCTATACTTTGTTGAGATGTTACCGATATTGCCTTCAAAGGCCCTTCGCAGCCACCCCGACAACTAAGGCTGGGGGTCTGGAGGCTCGCAGGCAGACTGATCCTTGCCGTGGTGCCAATGGGCCACGGTCTTCTGCTCTGCCGCTTCTGAAGAGGTGTCGTCGGGGCGCTAGAGATAGTGCCAGATCCGGTCAAAGCCCACTCGAGCACTGCTGTCACGGAGGCATAAGCTTTCGAGTCGATTTTCCTACCTCCAGAGACAGTCAGCCTTGCCTGATGTTGCGAGTCTGCCTGAGTTCCAATCGTCGGGACGGTAAGAAGTGCGGCGCTCGCACGGGAGAACAGCATCCGTTGTGAACTAGGTTGGCAGCCATGGCTCCTGATATCTGTATTGTATTGATGATGAAATGCTTCGGGTGTGTGTTTCTCCACACATTTTGCATCATCGAGTGTGGTTTACAGCCAGTGTGTGAGGCATTCGGGCGTGATGAACAAATCGAATCAACCACGCAAACTCGCCTGCCTGCCACACCTGTACAGGTTCTCACCAATAAGTCAGAGCAGGCCGCGTGAGGCCATGGGCAACGGACACGCCAGGCGAATCGTTTGAGAACATAGGCAAAGTATTTTCATCTGGTGCAGGTGTGCCACCTGTACGGAATCAATTACTAACTCATTACGTCGCCAAGCTTGCGATCAACGGATTTTCCACCGAAGCTGGCCCGTAGATCCGATGCGGATCCATGATTACTGTAGCGACCGGGTGCAACTGTAGCAATTTGCAGAGAGCAGCGACGGCCTATAGCAAAAGCATAGCCTGACAAACCGAAGAGAGCCAGTAATTTTGAGACGCTGCACACTTCGCAAAGCACAGGTCGATAACTCTGTAAAGCCAAAGGCTCACCACAGGTGGCGTAATTCAGAGGCGCATCGCCTTGATGCATAAGTGCATCGTGCATGGCCACGGAGTAGCACCAAAGCTGCTCTCCCGTGTCCCACAGCACTTGTCACGATACCAGTTCGGCTGCAAAGCATAGAGGCCGAGGCCAATGCCATGATATCAGCCGGAAGTTGTTCTTGTTGTAGTCATTGCCTGTGTGCCAACAGCAGTCTGACTTCAATCATCTGTTGTCGCTTACATGTATGATGCTGCATTCGAGCCTTCTGCAACGAGAAGTTTGGAGAACTGTGAACGACAACCCTCACTCAGCCGGACTGTCAATCTCGGGTCACTGTCGAATGTTTGCTTTCCCGGCGTTCCCGGCATGGGCCATGCGCCATAGCGCATCCGACTGACCCTAGATGGCCTGTGCAGAAATGCTGAAGTGCACTTTTGGTTGCAGCACAGTCGCAGTTTTGAGGAGTTGCCGCTTGCAGAAGTTGAAGTCTTCTCCGGTATACGCGAGGCCCAAGCAGAGAGAAGCTTGAAGAAGATCATGCCCGGAGGCTAGTTCCCTTCGCTCCGGTGTTGGACTCACCGGCAGGCAAAAGGCTTAAGTTGAGCAAGGCCGAGTCTGTCAGAGCGGTCGAAGGAACTCATCTTATCATAATTTCGCTTGCAGATTCCCAGCCATGACACAGCCATTAGTGGCGCAGCTCTATGTTTGGCTTCTCGGCCACGCTTCATACACAGCAAGCACACCCGTGAGATCCCGTGGGTACACTTGACCGGGTTGCGGGCATGTAACTGAAGCATGGCTCCGAAACGCTCAGGTATGAAGCTCTTAAGCTGGTCATGAGACCCTTGAAGTGAAACCAGAAAGCTTTGAGTTTCGATCCCACGTTGCTAACGCCTACCTGTGGATCATACACTGGCACCACGGAGAGGATACACAACGGACAACCGTCAGCTACGGCGACAGTTTCTGGTTCTGGGCTTGGCATCGGTGGTGCGGACGGGCACCCTCGTGGCGAAGATGCGCATGAATGAGATGCAGGCACCAGAGGACTGCTTTGCGAAAGGGTAGCGTGTTCATCCAATGCAGGTCTACTACCAAAACTCCGGACACTTGGACGCGCAACCTCATACTTGGACACTGGACGCCATGCTATGGAGTTTTCACATCTTAGGCCAGCTCAGAAAGTGGGTCCGATCCATGATCGATGGCATCCTGGCCTGTGCTGTCATTGCCGGGCTTACCAGCTGGCATTCTTATGCCGAGAAGGCGCGGGGCACCAAGCCCGAAAGTCTGCCTGCGAAAGATTTATTGTGGAGATGAGTCGGAGAAGGGGTGCCAGGTGGCAGGGCAGCACAATCTATAGAGGGTTGGCATGTGCGCCGGGGGCGATATTGAGTCCCAAACTCCTCGCAAGCAAGCGAGCGAGAGTCTCCGAGCGGCGAGCAAGAGCACGCTCAGAGCAGGCTTAGGTTCGTAGAGCTTCGGGTTACTGCAGTGACCAGCACGGACACACTCAGCTGCATCAGGGGGTGTGTTCTTGCGCTAAGAGAGCAGACATTTCTGGGGGCCCAACCTCGGTGGGATGCACTCAATGTGTCAGTGAGGGTGTGTGACGGACTGTCATCCACGGGGTGGAATGGGGTGGATGCAAGCGCCAGGCGCAGGAAGCTGGGCACGGGTTATGCACCAAAGCTTTCGGGAGCTCTTCCCTTCCTGCATCCCACTTGTGTTTGAGGCCTTGGCGCGGATGTGGAGGCAGGCGCTCACCACCCGACTGCACCAGCTTTACTTCGCCAGCTCGCACTTCTACCAGACCCCTTGGCTTAACCTCGGAGAGGCCACAGAAGTCTCTGAATCAGTCTTGAATCTGAGGATCGCTCAGGGCGGGGAAGCAGAAGGTGCCGTGGTCGATGCAGACGCCCTGTCCCTAGAGTCTCGGTGCAGCGGTAGGTGGCTGGAATACTATCTTCGACCGTTCGTCTGAGCTGTTCCATTCCGCAAAATAGTGTTTCAGGCTTTCGAAGCTCTTGCTACTGTCGTTGTCAGGGTTCAAGCGTCGAATTGTCCATGGAGTCTTCAAACGTTGAGCTTTGAAGCCGTCAGGCCTGTCGAGCCAATTGACTTTTAGGACCGGGACTTCAGGAAGTTAACAACGGCAAAGAGTCAAGGACCATGGAGGGTACAAGTTCCTTCGTTTGACTTGACAGCTGGGCGCAGGATTGCACGGTTCGTAATTCCGGGACTGCTGCCAGGTTCGGCTGACAAGTGATGTCCCAGCTTTGGCATCAAGTGTTTCAAGCTCCTGGCCTGAAGCTTGAAAGATCTTGAAAGCCGCCTCCGCAGTGCCAACAGCGATTCCTAGATTGCTGCTCATGTGGCGTGGAGTGTCACTGCAAGCTGCGCCTGGAGGCCTACTCTCCCAAATGCTGGGAGGAGTTGTTGACGTGAGCCTTGATCAGGTCGAGGTTTTGGTTTTCCATGGAATCTCCCAACGTCCACGAGTGCCGAAGAAACCTTGCAGCCAAGGATAGCCTTTTCGGTGATTCTGGCAAGGCAGGGTCGACGGGGCGTCCTCTTCGCTGTGGCCACGCAAATCTACGGCATCTCCCTCTATATCACTGTGCCTTGGTGCTGCAACGTGGGCAGCGCTAGCACGTTCACAGCATCACAACAGCAGCTAGCAAACATGGAAGTTGAAGATCGGCTACTTATGAATCTTTCGAGACGAGATGATATTGAAGTTTTTGAATAAATGTTTGGCATTGGCACCCCGGCTCTGTACCATCCTCCCGGCATTGACATCGCGGCATCACATGAGTGTTGGGAGTCTCGTATGTAAAATCCAGTTTGAAACACAGACATCACGGGGATTCGCTGCATCAGCATTGCGTAGCTCTGCAGGCCGTGGAAGCAGTACTGGGGGTTCACAGTTAGAGTTCTGTCTTTTCCAAGCTCCCAAGGAATGGAGGGTTTGAGTTTGTTGGCACTCAGGCATCCGTAGTATGTGTACACAGCCAGGGGTAGCAGAAGTTAAGAACAGCAGCGTAGTTGTTCTCAAAGGCCAACTACATCATGCCGGTGGATTGGGCAGGACTGCTGGGTGGTGCCGCTGCGTCCTGACCTGGTCTCATTATTTTGGGCAAGCCTCCCGGGTAGTTTAATTGTCATTCAGCTCCTTGATCCACCGAACCGAGGCGACAGACTCAGCATTGAAGCAGAGTCTGAGCCGCGCAGAGACGCACGCGCAGGCAATCTGTGCGATGCAAGGACCCACTTGCATTTGGGGCCTATCTCGACGTATCAACAGCTTCGACCCAACCGCATCCTTGCCACTGCTTTTTACTTGCAAGGAGGGCCTCCAGAGCTGCGCGATTTCAATGGCAAGCTTAGAGCCGCACTGGCCGCGAAGTGGCGAGCCTATGTAGGCCCGTTTCTCAGTACTTACTAGTAGTTCAGTTGATTTGTTGAATTGAATGCCAGCGCAGACTCGTGCAAACAATCTCTTTTGACCCTGATCACATGTGTTTGCAATTCCCGGTGCAGCCGAAGCTGAGTGCATCACTGAGAGCCAAGGTCAGGACAGGCTGGACACCTTGTTGTACTACTTCATCTTCTCTTGTCTGGAGCAGTCACCACTGGGCTGGCTGACCTATCTATGGGGAGGCGCAGTGCTTCGAGCTTTGCAGGGTTTGAGCTGCTTTTCCTTCGTGTTGTCGCCTGCGGGTGAAGCTCGATGCACCATTTATAATCCACTTATCCTGCTACTAAGTTTTATGATGTTTCATGCGACTCTTTCCACTTCTAGACTCCGGCTGCTTGCCGGTGACCGTGCTGCGCAGTTTCGAGCCTAATGGCTGGCCGATCGGTACGCGTGGGTAACGAAGCCTCACCTGCAAGCAGTGGGTTTACGCTTCCTGTTGGTCAACACTTGTGTAGTGCCTTCCGCTTAGGAAGCCAGCCGCGTTCTGGGCTACACTGAGCGCAGTCATATGGTGGCTGAAGGCTACAGCTGCTCACCTGCACCATCTCATGAGTCTTATGAGCATGAACAAGGAGCAGTCAGGGCAAGTCAGGTATGTCGTGTCAGGTCTCAGGGCTTGCCTCTGCATGTTCAATACAAGGCCGGGGCATCCAGCTCTTCTGGGGTGGCAACTTCCTCCTTTGGGCTACTTTTCGAATTGTCTTCGCTTTGCATCAGGCCAGCTTTCCTCTGACATACGCATATCCATGAAGATACGGCGGATGCTCACGCTCAGCCTTTGCGCACGCGGCGAGAAATGCAGCTGAGTCCGTGCAGGTGTTGCAGAACTACGCAGCCATAATGCGGATTCAGCATTTGGAAAAGAAGCTTGTGGCCACTGCCAAGCCGCCAGTTCGAGTCAACATCTCGCCAGAAGACCGCATTGAGCTTCCTGGACCAGAATCAAGGACGTATACAAGCGCCTGAATCTTGTGCAGTGATTGAGAGCAAGGCTTGCCGGCTCGCCAATGCAAGCAGCTTCCCTTAGGTTCAAGGATGTCTCCATCCATACACCAAGCAACGCGCTGTTGGTCGACCGGTTGTCCTTCTCTGTCCGCTGGGGGGAGGCCACGAGCAGAAACTCCAAGCTCAGAGCTACGATCTGCTACTTGCTCCGTAGGTTCAAGCGGCTAGCAGGTTTCTTGCCCATGCATACCACAACCAAGAAGCATCAGGGGACGCCCTAGGAGAACAGGATGGCCGAGGTGGTGCCTCCAAAGCAGTGTCCTTCTCTGCACTTTGCCCGTCAAGTTCTTTTCGGGGTTTGGGCCTGCTGCGGCAGGGTGGTCCATGGTCACATGGAGATGGAATCGCCTTGCTGCGAGGCCTTGCTTCTCACTGGCCACAACGGCTCGGGCAAGAGTTCCATTTTCCGTTGTCTGGGCGGTTTGTGGATGATCCAGCTACTGGGCCGCAGATGTGAGCTATGCACCTCTCAGGTGACGTTGGTTATGTCCGGATAATTTGCCAATCCCAATCATGTCCCGGAATACCCGAAATGCTGGCGGGAAATATGGGTCTGGCATCTCCTTGTCCGTCCCACCCTCGTCCTAAGTCAGGGTGGGTGAGGACGAGGCACGGTCCTCATCAGGTGAACGTGGTCAGACGATGTCATATGTGGTCCGTCTTCCCTGTCTCAATCAAGCTGAAGTCTGTTCAAGACAAGTGGGGGCATCCTCACCAATCGGGGGCCCAGTGACCACTCAAGCTTAACCCAGCAAGTTGAGTGGAGCATGAGTGCGTGGCCGACTAGATTCAGCATGTCTCGTCGCTGGAGCCCGTCTGCACCAATCTACTCTTTCAGCATGCTGGTAAGACAGATGCATGCCTGAACAGTCTGTGCAGGTCTGGTGGTACCGTTGTCGACCCTGCCTTGTGATCAAAGCATCGCTGCTACAATCTCAAGCCTCCCAGGAATGGAAACATCGTCCGTCCCCGCAACCACACGGAAGGCGCAGGCCTGAGATGCATGTGAAGTAGTCTAGGATGAAACTGCTGTCTTGTCTTCGATCGTGTGCCGTACCAAGATGACACTGACGAAATCGGTCTGACCGGCGTGGTGTACTACCTTCCGCAGAGGCCATACAATGCGCTGGGCACGCTCATGGAAGCTTGGCGGTACTTGGCATTCCGCAAGACGAGCCATAGTCACTAGCCACAGGGGTGCTGAAGTCTAGCAGTTGCTTCGGAGACTCTTCAGGACCAGTTCTGCTACCCGGATCCAGTGCCAAAAACTTTGACCGAGAAAGAACTGCGGAGATGGCTCGACTTCGTAGACCTCGGACACCTCGCCGACTATCCAGGTCAGGGCGTCAGAAGGACTCGGATCCTGACTCGGATCATCTGCATCGATCGTGCGCCTCTTCAAGCGATCTTCTTCACTACATGACTGCCGCAAGGCGCCTTCTCCGAGCAAATCGACTGGGAGCAGGCCGCACCCAGTCCAGAGTTTCCCCTCTCGACTGCCAGAACGTAGATACTCGGCAAATCGTACTCTCAAGAAGCCAGGTCTTGTCGCGAGGTGAGCAGCAGCGACTTGCCATACTGCGCTTGTTTTGGAGGCACAGCTTGGTCCCGGGGGTCAGAATCAAAAAAGAACCTGGTATCTGACAGCATTGTGTTTTGCTGCATTCAGATTTGCCTGACCGAGTTCTCCGCCCAGTGATACACGGGTGTGGTCTGGCTTCGGGACCGAATTGCTAGCCAGTACATCATCACAGGCCCTTGAGTCGTGCAGAGCTGAACCAGTGATGCACCTCTGATTGAAATCTGACGGGCAAGATCTTGCGGAACTCCAGCTCCATGCCATCCACTGGGCTTTTTTCGATTTAGTGACCTGCAGCAAGCCAGCAACTGCTAGCATGGTCTTTTTGCCACCAACTTGGACACATGTCCTTGAAGGCGGCCCAAGTTCGCCGTGCTCGACGAGTGCCACCGTCTTGTGTTTCAGGATAGTTGATCTCAAGGCTCGCGAGAGCGCAATGATCAGTAAGATGGATGACTTTTACGTAGACAGTGAGCGAAGTGACCCGACACAAGCTGAAACCTGACTTCGACTGCCTTGGCAGTTGCATGTAGCTTCAAGTTGGCTTCAAGTGTGTAGCAACTCAACTTCTTTTGAGATGTTCCCACCATGGTGTAGTGCACCTCTTGCACCCAGGTGCACATCAGCAGTGAGCGGCGAAATGGAGCGACGCCTTTTCGAACTATGCCCCAAACTGGGAATTTCGTGCATCACCATCGCACACAGACCAGCTCTGCTTCAATACCATCAGCAACAGCTCATGCTGACGGGAAAGCCTACAGAAAATGGAGGCAGTGACACACTTTGCATGATGGTGTTTTGATGATGCTTAAGGTGGGCACCCTGCATGCACTGTTGCATGCTCGCCCTTCAGGCTGGAGTCTGAAAAAGATTGACGGCGGAACGACGACTTTCGACCCAGAAGCCAGCAAAAACATTGATGCTGCTGGCCTTATCGAGAGCTACATGGCTGGGCGTGCCACTCATTGGCAGGTACTCATGTTTATAATTCATACAGCCGCTGGGAACACCTTGTCTGTGCCTGTTATTGCTTGTTGCTAGGTAGAGCTGTCACAAAATTTGAAGAACTGCCTGAGCTCTCTGTCCATCCAGGTTGATATCATATTCCGTCTAAAGCGACACGGTTTCTGCAAAGTCGAGTTATACCCGGACACAACGATTCGCTGTATCCCTGCAATATATGTTGCGGCCGAGGCGATCAAGCTTTCCGAGGCACGCAAGACTGAGTGTGCTGAGATTGCGCAAGAGCGCTCGCGCAAGTTCGAGGAGTGCCATGACTGGACAGGGACAAACCTCGTTTAGATACTTGCGGCTTCGCTTCCAGCACCTACTTTTCATTAATTTTCAATACTCAGAACTTGTTCTGCCAGAAGGCCTATAGGGGGTGTGGGGCACAGTGTGGGGGAGCGGCAGGGGCCCCTCAAAAGTGGTGTGCTTCGGGTCTTGTTTGCGGCGGGCTGCTTCCTGTTTTTGGACTGGTGCTGCCGGCCTCTCTTCACTTTGCATACCTCCACAAGCTGGGCATCTGTAAAACAACCCCACGTTTTCCGTCGCACCTCCAACCAACAAGACGATCACGTGCAGGGCATTAGGCGTAACCATCGTATCCATGCATTGATACAATCATATAGGGGCATAATATAGGGGCACCAGAAAGCCTACGAGGCGGGCAACACTACCTCGCCCGACAGGCGTGTCCACTCTGCAAGCCAGCAGCCCTAACCTCGCAGGGTCATCGTTTGATGTCAGAGACGCAGCTCGCCATGGAAGACCAACAACCACTTGATGCGTTCTGAGGTGTAGCACGCGCTCGCTTCTGCCACAGGAAAGGCAGACCAGGACTGACTATTGCAAGGAAAACGATCTTGCAAGGTGGATAGTCTGATAGTCAGAGAGGGCATGGCTGGGCAGAGGCGTCCTGGGAATCTTGGTGACTGAAACTCAAAGTGCCCAGGATCTACCATCCTGCCCTTTTCACGGGACTGCGGCAGCCTGCTGCGGCTCCCTGGTGTGCAAAGTATTCAAGCCAGGTGAAGGCATTTGTTATCAGGTTCTTTGCATGTTGAGTTCTGCCGGTTCAGGAAGATGCCCGAGACACGATGCTTGCACGATTTAGCTGTGGCGATTGGGTTGAGCTGCAGGTTGGGCGCTTGGCAGCTCTTGTGCTTTGCCTGGTGGTGCGGTGTCCACTGCTTTTGGCAGCTTGGAGGCCGGACAGGATCTCCGAGTTCTGGCGATCGATACAGTTTACACCTTGTAAAATTAAGATGTTACTGTATACCCACACACACACACACACGCACACTGGGGCACAAATGCATGCAGATGTACGTATGTATGTCTGTCTGTATGTCTGTATGCATGCAGCATGTATGTAATGCATGTATGTATTTATGTATGTATGCATGTATGTATGCATGCCTGCATGTATGTATGTATGTATCTATCTATCTATCTATCTATCTATCTATCTATCTATCTGGGATCCTCGCCTGACCTCGTCGAGCGCGAGTGCCACAACATGTATCTATCTATCTACTCCATCTGTCTGTCTATCTATCTACCATCTATCTATCTATGTGTAGATGGATAGATGGATGGATGGATAGATATGATAGGTAGATATTTACATAGATACATAGTCAGTCTGGCGTTCTTGCCCCCCACCCCCCCGCCGGAGGGGGCCGGCAGGCGCTGAATCCTCATGGCAGGGAACTAGGTAACTAGATGTCTCAAGCATGCCTGCGAAAAAGGGATGAGGCGGCTTTGGGCCGGAATCCGCGAGACAGTTGATTCTTTTGGGCCTGGGGAGTGTTAGCGCCGAAACCAAACCCAAGCCCACCCCATGCCCAGTCAGTCGTCTTTGACGCTGTTGGGCAGGGCACTCACAGAAATGAATGGCCCCACAACTTGTTCACAAAAGGACAGGGGCCATTCAAACCAAATCCAAATCCACCCACAGGGGGGGAGGGGCGGGGGCGAAGCTCGTAAACAAATAATAAGTACAGAAATATATATATATATATATATATATATAAAAGAACCTTGGTTGGAAGATACAAGGAATGGATGTGTAGACACACACTCGGAGAAACGACGGCTGAACTGCGTACGCTGCCAACAGTAGTGCTGGTTTCAGATTCCAGCTGATACCAACATCTCATGCCATGTCCCCCTGCTTTAAACTGTATCAGCATGGCAGCATGGCACTCGATTCGAGAGCACGTCCATGTGGCTGGTACGGAGGAGCTTTCTTCCTTCACGCAGGGAAGTTCAGCCAACATACTGCGGAAAAGGTCATTGATGTTCTACTGCTGTTGAGAAAGTTCGGTCACATTGTCGGTGACTTCAGTGGATTGTTGCCCAGTCTCTCGGAGAGAGGCGCGACAAAGGGCCCCACAAGATCAGCATTGAAAACTGCATAGGGCATAAGGCTCTCCAACATCATGTGATTGCCTGAACTGCTGAAGCGTACTCCGAAAGCAAACTTCATGCCACAAGTCCAAACACAAACCGTGAATCTGCATGTTCATGTGCCGGATAGCGGTCTGATTAGCTGTTTGTTTGGCGCTCACCTAGATCTATGCA